GCGCGGCGACCTGGGCCCGACCCGGAGCCCCGTGTGGGCGGCTGGGCGCCCGCAGCGCCGCGTCTCCCCGGACCGTGCGGGGACGGCGGGGTCGCGGGAGACGCGGCTGGGAGCTGTGGGGATCACTTCTTCACCCATCTTCCGAAGGTGTGGGAAGCACGATGTCAAATTTATGACCTTATCCTCCCTTCTAGAAAGCTCTTTCTCTCTAGGGCTGGTAATAAATTCCTAAATTTCCAGACCTTCCCATGCATTTCCGTACGACAGCTTCCCCTCTCCAACTCAGAACCTCGCTATTGCGCCTTGCCTTCTGGTGTATTTCAACCACACGCCCTATTTTAATAACTATTTTTCCACAGAGCCATGGATGGCTCTTCGTCAAAGATTCGTTTCTTGTTTGTGGAAATTTTACATGAGAGGAAAGCTCTTGTGTAAGAAATAAGCACTTGTATGAAATCCTTGAGCCTGTCTTCCTGGCATCTTTCCTGCGGACAGACATCTTGGGGAACTCCTTTTTTCAGTGCATGTAAAAATGTATGTAGTAAGTAGAGGTTGGAAGACAGTGTAAAATATTTCCAAAGAGGCTAAAAAGAGGTGAATCTCATAAAAAGTAAAATAGTCCAGGGCTAGGAATGTAGCTCAGTGGTAGTGTTTGCCTCACATGTACAAGACCTGGGTTCAATCGCCAGGAGTGCAAGGGGAAAAAAATCCAATGTTACACTGCATTTGTTAAAAATTATTTTTTGTTGCTATTGTTTTGGGGTCCGGGACATGGTCTAGAGTAGCCCAGGCTAGCCTGGAATTCCCAGTGCTCCTTTCTCAGCCTCCCAAGTGCTGAGATTACAAGGGAGGAGGGTTGTCATGCATGCATCACCAGCCCAGCTAGTGCATTTGTTAAAAATTCTTGGGCTGATGGAGTGGCTCAAGTGGTAGAGTGCCTGTCTAGTATTGGTGAAGCGCTGAGTTCAACAAAATGCAAAACAAAACCAAAAACAATTTCTTGTTTACTTTTGTTCTTCCCCAAAGTGTGTAATTTCTTAAAAGTGTTATTTTGTTTCATTTCATTTTTTTATTTCTTGAGTGCTGGAAATTGAACCTAGGGGTTGCATCTCTCAAGGTGTTAGAATCTTGCCCAGAGTTTGGGAATGTGACTGACCTTTTGTTTTTGTTTGTTTTTGAGGAGGATTTCACTGTGTAGCCCTAGCTGGCTTCACAGTCACTTAAACGCACCTGAATCCTCCTGCCTCAACCGCCTGGACCTGGGATACAGGAGTGGAAGGCCTATGTTTAACTTTTTCTTTTTTTTTCCATGGTACCGGAGTTTGAACTCAGGCCTCACATTTTCTAAGCAAGTGTTGAGCCATGCCTCCAGCCCTTTTTTGCTGATAGGGTCTTGTGCTTTTGTCTGGGGCCTCCCTGGGGCTGAGACCCTCCCACCTCTGTCTCCCAGGTAGCTAGGATACAGGTGTGTGATACTCCACCCAGCCTACACTTAACTTTGAAATGTAGGTTTTTCTTGTGAACTGTGGGGAAGTGGGCTGGGCTGCTTATATGAGTTGGTTTAAATTTTTTTTTTCTTTCCTTTGGATTCCTTTCTCTGTTGAATATTGTAACCTGTTAACTCTTTCCCTTACCACTCTATTTAGTTTGGGGGGGGAGGAAGGGGGCTGAAAATGCAAGGTAATTGAGAGTAAGGCAAAAAGATCTGGAGCCAAATATAACTTTTGTTCATTTGAGGCAAGTAAACCTCAGATGTGAAATGGTGTCTTAAATTTGGCAGGTACATTTTTCTTTTTTTTTGGTGTGACTGAGATTTGAACTCAGAGCTTTGTGCTTGCAAAGCAGGCCACTCTGCCATTTGAGCCATACCTCCAGCTAATAACGTTTTACATTTTTAGAATATTTGGCTGGGGTGGGGGTGGGTGGGAGGGTGTAGTGGTGAGCAGTGCTAGGGATGGAACTCAGGGCATCACACATACTAGGCAAGCCTCCACCAGAGCATCCTAAAACCAGTCTTTTGCACTTACAAATTGGCTGGGCAAAGTGGGACCATTCACACCTTACAGCCCTGCACTCCAGTTAGATTACTTAATATTTCCCGGTGTAAATTAAACAATGTCTTAGAGAGCTGAAAACCATTCTTTAAAACTATTTTATAAAGAGGTGATTATCCCACTGCTGCTTTTTTTGTTTGTTTTGGTTGGACTGGGGTTTGAGCTCAGGGCTTCTTGCTTGCAAAGCAGGCTCTCTACTGCTTGAGCCACACCTCCAGTCCCCCACTGCTTCTTTTAACAGCACAATTTGGCCTGTTCTTAAACACGGAAAGAGTGAATGGGGAAAAAAAAGAATGACTGGCACCTCCTAGTGGTTTACTACTGCTGTGGTCCCATCCACTAAGCTCCTGTACCCAATAATTATAGAAATTACTCAGAACCCCCAGTCAGCAACTAGGAAATATTCTGATATCACAAATTTGGCTAAGTCCTTTCTGTTCAGTGCCTTTTTCAACAGCCGCACTTTTCTCTCACCTTTGAGGAAATATAACACACCTTTACCTGGCTGCCCTCAGAGAACCTCAGCAGCCTTACTGTCACAGTCTTTGCAGGCAAGATTGGTCTACATAACCCTTTCTCCAGGGGCAGGTATGAGATGTTAGTGACATTCTTCTCCCAAGACATTCATTTGGCATTCATTGAGTACAACCAAATTCTGAAAATAGGAGCTCATTCTCCTATCCATACCCTCCCTCAAAAAAAAAAAAAAAAAGGCCATTGCTACATATGTAAGAGCTTCTGACACCTTGATTAAATTTTTTTTTAATTTGGCAGCATTAGGGTTTGAGCTCAGGGCCTCTCACTTGCTAGCCAGATGCTCTTATTGCTTGAGCCACTCCATCAGTCCTTTTTTTGGTTGGTTTTTTCAAGTGTTTTGAACAATTTGCCCAGGGCTAACTTTGAACCACCATCCTCCTGGTCTCTGCCTCTTGAGTAGCTAGGATTTCAGGCATGAGCCACCTGCATCTGACTACAATTCTTGAAAATCAGTTGTTAAAGGCCTGAGCAGTCTGTAACACCTGTGGGGAAGTAGGCCCCTCAGCATCTGCATCCTTTGATGTTCAGGAGGCAACATAGTCCTCATTTACAATTTTACTTCAACCCATTTTTGCTGTAGCTTGCAAATGGGGCCTCCTCGGATGGACACCCTACTACTAGAGTCTAGACTGCTTAGTTGGCCTACAACAGGTACTCCAGTAGTATCTTCAGAACCCTTTCCCTGTAGAGGCTTCCTTCACTTCCTCTCACGCCTCCTGAAGTTACCCAGGATGGCCATCAGTTGTCCACAGTCTTCTGACTCAGGAAAATGCGCTCCTCAACCCCACACTGCATAGCAGCAGAGCTGCAGTTACAACAGCATCCTGGGCTTCTCTGAAAGTAGAGGCTCTCAAAGGCCTGGAGCTTACCTTCTGCCCAGCTGCCTGTCCCACCCTGGGTCTTATAATCAGCGCAGGTATGGAGATCTGACCATGTTGTGAAGCTAAACTGCACCTGTGGCGTATATTATTGCCTTTTCCATATGTTGCCCCTCCTCTCCTCACTTACCAAGTGACATGATGCTGAAAAGGACTCACTGCTCTTCCAGACCTCTTGGACACATGTGGGCTTTTTTTTTTTTTTTTTTTTGCTTTCAGTGCTGGGGATTTACCAAGGGCTGTGCACATGCTATGTAAGTACTGTACTTTGGAGCTGCCTCCCCTCATGTGGGGTGTCTGATTGAGTGGATAGTAATAGGAATTCTTACACTTTCTAGATGACATGACTGAGCTCGTGAAGAGTTGTTGCTGGTTTTTGGGGTTTTTTTGGGAGGGGTTCTTTTGGTTTCATTTGGGGTTTTTTTGGTGGTGTTAAGGTTTATACTGAGAGACTTGTACTTGCTAGGCAGGTGCTCTACCACTTGAGCCACACCTCTAGCCCTTTTTGCTTCAAATTATTTTTCAGATAAGGTCTTGCTTTTTACCCTGAGTACCCTGGGACTGAGATCCTCCCCTAAGCCTCCTATGTAGCTGAGATTACAGGCATGAGCCACCACACCCATTTTGATGTTCCTAATAGAAGATGGAACTTTGGAGGGCTAGCACAACTAAACAAACATGAGACGGTCCTCTTAACACTGGCTGACAATTAGCCCTATTCGCACATTTCTATTAACTCTTGCTTGACTTATCTAAGAACTGTCCCTTAGTGTGAAAGAATCCTGGGACTCTCGTGCATCACAGGAACTAAAATATGTAAATCAAGGATATGTCTCTGAGCCCACAATAAAAGGCCTCACTGCTTATCCAAGCTGGAGATGCAGACAGTACTGCTAATAACTAAGGCATTCTTTTCAGTTCTGCTGGGCTCTTAACAAGGCATTCCATGGAACATTCACCTGCCTTACTGGTTTCAGGCTCATACAGCACCTTAGTGGCTCTCGCAAATAAGTTCAAGTCAATTAAATGAAAGATGGCATATTTCAGTTGTCCTTAGTTGTAAGAGATAGGTTAGGTTGTAATGAGTCTTTTTTTGTGGGGGGGAACATGGCTGGGAATCAAACTCAGGGTCTCACACATGCTAAGCAGGTGTTCTACCACTGAGCTACAACCCAGGCTTTATATCTTTAGATCAGCTTAAGGTTTATAGAAAAATAGGTCAGGAAATGAAAGCTCCTACATGACCCTTCTGCTTTCACACAGTTGACCCTATCTTATATCTTGTGTTACCTTTGTTACAACAGATGTACCAATATTAATGCATTAAATCACATAATTCATTAGGGTGACCCTTACACAGACAGGGGGTTTAGCACATATATAGTGATGTGTCTGTCATTTCTGTGGCATCTAAGAGAAATTTCATTGTGCTAAAAAAATTCCAGTGCTCCACCTATCCCTCTGCCCATCTCACTCACAATATCTTGACATCCAAATATATTTTTACTGTCTCAGGGTGGTGTCTTTTCCAGAATGGCATGCACATGTAGCTTTTTTTTTTCAGTGAAGGGCAAGTGCTCTTCACTGAACTATATCCCCAGCCCTAGTGTGTAGCCTTTTCAAGTTGACCTCCTTCACTTAGCAATGGACTTGGAAGGTTCCTCCATGT